GGACCCTTGCCAGGTCCCGCTCTGGAGGTGGCCTCCGTGTCCTTCCTGTGCCAGGACAACCCTTTCCGCCAGAGGATCGCCCAGGTCTTCTCCGAGGCCGGGGATGGCCACATGACCTTGCACGACTTCCTGGACATGTTCTCCGTGATGAGCGAGATGGCTCCGCGTGACCTCAAGGCCTACTATGCTTTTAAAATCTACGGTGAGTGCGCGACCTCGGGTGGGGACAGCCAACCCGATGGCGCCCCGTCACCGCCGTGTCCCCAGGTCTTCAAGGCCTCCTGGCCCTGCCCGGCGCCCGCCCAGAACCCCCAGCCCTTCCCCTTGCGCACTCTGAGCCAGCCACCTGTCCCAGGCCCTTGCCCCAGCCGTGACCTCTGCCTGCAGCACCCTCCCCTGGCCCTTTCTTACCCTCCAGGTCTAGATGGGTGAAAAGCAGGCCCTGCCCCTGGCTCCCAGTTCCACGATCTTTTGTGTCACCCAACACCAGGCAACGCTGGCTCTCATTCCTTCCTCTGTTTACTTCTTGTTTGCTCTCCAGGGATACCCAGGGGTGGTGACAATGTCTGTCTAGGGCACCATCTGTCTCCTGTGCCTGGCACACACTAGCTGTTCAGTTCATATTTGTTGAGATGAATCACTCAGTGAAAGTAAAGCAGGTCCTCAGAACCCGACACCTAGTTGGCACTCAGTAAATGCTCGTGAGTGAATGAATGAAAAACAGTTATCCTAGTGCCCAACACGTAGTAGGTGTTCACTAAATACTGGTTGAGTGAATAAAATGAAAGTTATCACGGTGCCTGACACACAGTAGGCCCTCAATATGTGCTTTTGGTGAATCAATGAAAAATAACTATTTTTCATTGATTCAGATGTGCCTGGCACACAGTAAGCACTCAATTCTTGTTCAGTGAGTAAATAAAGGAGAATGTTATCATGGAGTCTGGCACACAGTGCACACGGTATTTGTTGAATGAATGAATGAACTCCCAGCAACCCCAGCCCAACTCCAAAGCACGGCCCAGATCCCAGCCTGAGGGTCCGGGTGGTCTCCCGGTGCCTGGGTTTCCTTCCTGTAACACCGGGACAGATGTGCTGACAGGTAGCCCAGCCTGCCTGTCCCCTGGGTCCCCTCCCACACTCCCCACCTCTGCGCCACAGACTTTAACAACGATGACTACATCTGTGCGTGGGACCTGGAGCAGACGGTGACCAAGCTGACGCGGGGGGAGCTGAGCGCGGAGGAGGTGAGCATGGTGTGCGAGAAGGTGCTGGATGAAGCTGACGGGGACCACGACGGGCGGCTGTCCCTGGAAGACTTCCAGAACATGATTCTGCGGGCTCCTGATTTCCTCAGGTGATGTCCCCAGCACCCCACTCCACCCACTTCCATGCGCACAAGGGGCCCTTACGGAGACCGTTCACGTACTCCGTTTTTCCAGATTCCTCTGTGGATTCATTTGTGACCTTGGGAAACTTTCTCAGTTTCCCTAGTCTCAGTCCTTGCATCTGTACAATGGGGACCATTAGGAGCCCCACGGGCACCTCTGGTGGGTGGATGTGGCTCTTTGGTCAAGTGCCACACAGCTGGACTTGGGTCTGCATTACCTGAATAGTTTTGCAGTGAACAGACTGTGCAACTGGACTTGGCAGCCTGCGGGGAGACTCAGAGCCCTAGCCACGGGGCTGACACGGAGGCTGAGTGAGTCCACACAGGGCTGACCAACGTCCACCCTGTTTGTGTACTTTCTGTGAGCTAAGGTTGTTTTTTTTTTTTTTTTTTTTTTTTTTACATTTTCCAGTGATGACATTCCATGACAGGGAAAATGGTAGGAAATCCAGAATTCTGTGGCCACAAAGAAGGTTTTCTTGGCCCAAGCCACGCCCATGCATGGACATATGGCCCATGAGTGCTTTTGTGCAGTTGATGTGCTACACAAATATCAACTGTTTGTTCTTTGCAGAATAAGGCTGTGGGCCCTGTGTTAACCTATAGGGAGGATTTTGGGTGGTGTCTGGCACACAGTAGGTGATCAGTAAGACCTGCTGTCCTGCTGTTCTTGACGTTATTATCCATGATGTCCTTCAGTGCTCAAAAAGACCTCCTCTACCTGACCCAGCAGGACAGGTCTCCTGGCAAACAGAGATCAAAAAATGAAAACTGGGAGGACCCACTGGCCGGGCTCTGTGCCCCCACACCTCAGCCTGGTCACCCTCACTCTAGTCCCACTGAGGAACAGCCTTTGACCCCATTTTACATAGGGCCACACTGAGTCCCTGGCAAGTCTAGGGTGGAGCTGGGATGTAAACCCTGGTCCAACAGCAGAGCACGGTGGTGCAGCCGGTGAACCCGGCAATTCTGGAGGCCGAAGCAGAAGGATCATAAGTTGGAGGCCAGCCTCAGCAACTTAGCGTGACCCTGTCTCAAAATAAAAATAAAAAAGACCAAATAAAAAAATAAATAGATAAAAAGGATCAAGGGCTGGGGTTGCAGCCCAGTGGCAGAGCACTTGCTAGCACATGTGAGGCCCTGGGTTCGACCCTCAGCACCACATAAAACAAATAAAATAAAGGCACCGTGTCTCCTACAACTACGAAAAAAGGACCCAGGGTGCAGCTCAGGGGTAAGGTGCCCTGGGTGGCTCGATCCCAAGGACAAGAAAAAAAATTGCTTGAGAGGGTCCTTCAATTGCTGGAGAGGCCCTGCCTCGGGGACTCAGGGGCGGGCGGCCTCGTCCTTGAGGCTGACTCTTTTCTCTCTGCACACAGCACCTTCCACATCCGCATCTGAGAGCACCGCCCACAAGGATCGGCCAAGGAGGGCAGGGGAGCCCCCACCCCACTGTGGACTCTGGCCTCCCCTGGCGGGGCGGGCGCTGGAAATAAACACGAGGCACTGAGTCACCCTTGCTGGGGGACACACTTTCCATCCTCAACCTGGCAGGGGGGAGGGACAGGCTTGGATCACCCTTTGCTGGGTGATCTTGGGTGTGGCTCGCCCTCTCTGGGCCACACATCTCCTGTTTGTTCAAGGGATGAGCTGGCTTCTAGATCTCTCCACGGTGAAGGCCGGGAGGGCGTGTTGTGGGCCTCCACAGGCAAAACCGAGGCAGGGAGAGGAGGCGCACCCCGTCCCACCCGTGGTCCTTGAGCAGAATCTCACCACAGGCTGCTCAGTCCTCTGTCCCTGTTCCCCAGGTCTGTCAAAGGGACTGAGACTCTGATGACTCATCAGCACTGCCGTGGGGACGCCTCTGAGGGGGAGGGATTAGGAGTGGCATTCACTGAGGTGGGCAGGGTACGTCACAGTTTGCATGTGGAGGAAGACCAAGGCACGCAGTGAGTCATCTGCAGTGGCTGGCTCGTGCCCAGGAGCGCCTCACTCCACACCTCCTTATCTTGAGAACTCAGGAGCATCACGCCACCCACCTGGGGTTGCCCCAGGACCTTCTTCTGTGGCCCCAGTCTATCCAAGGGGCTTGCCCCTAACGCCAGGTCAGGGACCATCCCGGACACCTCCACTGTGCCCCAACCTTGACCCCTAAAGATCAAGCACCCCTGTGCCAATACTCCAGGTTTTGTCCACATCTTGCGGTTCCTCCTGAGGAGTGACGGCTCTTCTTCCCATTTTCCAGGCCCAGAGAGGTCTCGATTTGCCAAAAGTCACACAGCTCATTGATCTAGGATTCCCTCCAGAGCCCATCCTCAACCACAAGCCCGGGCCACCTCCTCCTTTTCCTTTTTTGGTGGTCCTGGAGGTGGAACCCAGGGGCTTGCAGACACTACATCTGTAGATGAGAGATGTACTACACTACATCTGCGGTGCTTTTAAAATTTTATTTTGAGACAGGGACTCACTAAGTTGCTGAAGGCCTTGCTGAGTTGCTGAGGCTGGCCTCGAACTTGTGATCCTCCTGCCTCAGCCTCCCAAGTAACTAGGATTATGGGCGTGAGCCACTGTGCTCACCAGCTCATTCCTTTTTGAAAAGAAGGGCTCACATTGCATATCATGATGCTGCTGCAGGTGAAGTCCTACTGTGCACCAAGCTCAGGAGGGAGGAGGCTGTGAGTAGCCGCGCTTGCCACCACCACTTGCGTGAGAACATACTTGGAACTGAGTCGGCAAATCCCAGCTCTGTGGTGGCGGAGGTTCCTGCCGGGTGGTTTCAGGCGGTGCAAAATGGCTCAGCTTTCAATCCCGATGCTCACACCCTGCTGCCTCTTCTCTCTGAACCTCAGTCTCTTCTTCAGAATGTGGAGAGTGGCCCTACGGCATAGGCTTGCTCAGGAACATGTCCCGTGGTCTCCTGGTATCCTCAGAGATTGGTTCCAGGACCTCCCCTCACACCCAAACCCACAGATGCTCAAGTCACTTATAGCAAATGACACCGTGTTTGCATATAACCTGTGCATGGACACACAGGACTTTAGACATCTCTAGATGATTTCTAATATATAATAAGGTGCAGACGCTGTGGACATAGCTATTAAAACTGTATTTTTTAGGGAATAATGGCAAGAAAAGAAGTCCATACGTGTCAGGATAGGTAACATTTTGTCTTTAATATTTTTTATCTGTGGTTGGTTGAACTGGAGGTATGGACCTCAGAGGAGGGTCTGGCACTGGGCCTGGCACACAGTAGGCATCTCAAGCCACCCCATGACTATTATTATTACTGTTGCTGTTGGTCGTACTGGACTGAACTGGGGGGATGCTACCTCTGAGCTGCACCCCCAGGGCCTTGCTGGGTTGTTGAGGCTGGTTTTGAATTCACGTCCTCCTGCCTCAGCCTCCGGGCTGCTGGGATTCCAGGCATGCGCCCTGGCCGGGCTGCTCCTGCGATTGCTATTACTCGGCAGGCTGTCCTGATGGCAGTTGCAGGTCTGGGTCCCCCAAGCTCCCGAGGACCAGACGCGCGGGACGGTGGCAAAGGGAGCCCCCCACACACACACACCGGGACCGCGGCCCCTGGCCAAGGTCCTGGAGCTGGAGAGCGCCCCTAGCAGTACCCGGGGGCGAAGGGCGGCGGCGGCAGGTACTCCTCAGGCAGCAGGTCCTCCGCGGGCTCGGAAACGTCGTCAGGCCCCGGCGTGGCCTCCCGGGAAGACAGGGCCCTCGCCACCAATGGGTGCCAGCCCCTAGCCGCCGGGGTGGCCCCGCTCCAGCTCTCGGGCCTGGCGGCCTTCCTGGCGGAGGCGTCCCTGGGTCTCGGGGCCTGGGGCTGCGAGGAGTCAGAGGGTGTGGCCACACACGGGTCCCCGGAGACACTGTCCTTCCAGGCCGCCTCGCCCGAGTGCTTCCTGCTGTCCGCCCGGGGCCTGGGGCCGGGGGTCCCCCGAGCCGGCCTGGCCTCCTGGAGCGATGACCTCAGGGCCGCCAGGGCGGAGCGGAACTGCGGCTGCGCGATGCGGCCCGACGCGGGCAGCGCCTTGAGGCTGCTCCAGAGCCTCTGCCCGGCCTCCCTGAAGGGCCTCGCGGGGCAGGAGGAAGAGGCTTCCCCGGGGGGCGCCCTGCCCGGCTCTGCAGAGGGCTTCCTCGCCGTCGTGGGGTGGGGCAGGGCTGGCCTCAAAGGGACCTGGAAAGGAGAGATGGCGACACCCGGGCCAGGTCACCCACCAGAGCTCTGAATCGGGGCCTGCCCCTGCCCTCCCTCCCTGTCTCAGCACGTGGCTCCCCGTGTCCCCAGGAGCTGGGCCAGCTGAGCCGCGGTCCCCCAGCCCCATGCGCCCGGGTGTAGAGCAGTGACCGTGAGCACAGGGCCATCGGGCCATCGTGGCCACCGGGTGTCCTACAGTGCCCGACGATGCCACTTCTTCCTCTGCTGGTGGCGCTCACTCCCAGGGCCTCCAGCGGGGCAGGTGCCACCACCCACTGTGCCCCAGAGGAGCTTTGCTTTTGGAGACAGGCAGCGCAGCGGGTGTGGCCGACGGTACCCGGTACCCTGCACACGAGCCGCCCACCAGGCACCGGGTCACCGAGCCACAGGGAGCTTTCATCTCCGTGATGATCTCAGGGGACCATCCCACCTGCGGCCCAGTGTCAGCCTACATGTCACAGGGCCACACTGAAGTCTGCGACGCTGCGGGCACAGCCACATGCGGAGCTCCTGCGGGTCCGCAAACCCTTGTTTAGGGACACGGAATCCAGGGGCCACCTGCCTATGAAATGCGACGTTTACTGGTCGTTTCTTAAACAATTTAAAACTTTTTTAAAAGCCACGTTTAACTCCCAGGCGGACAGAAGCAGGCAGGGGATCGGATGTGGCCGAGGGACATTTGCAAAGCCCTGGTCCACCCAGAGGATCTGGATGCCATCTGTGCCAGCGCTGCCCGGCCCCCCTGCCCACCTCCGGCCCCAAGCGCTTCCAGCCCCAGCCCCGCTCCCACGTGCCACCGCCGGCGGCTTCTCACCTGGGAGTCTCCAGGGGAAATGGAGCTGGAGGGTCTCCTAACGGCAGGTGGAGGACCAAAGCCCAGCTCCCTTCCCGGTGGGACAGCTGAGGCCCATCCCGGGCACCCTGGACCCCGCCAGCCACTAGAGTAACCTGCTCCGCCAGGTGCCCGCCACCCCCATCCCTCTGTCCTGCCTGCTCCCTAGCTTCCGGACTGTCAGCTCCCAAACAAGGAGAACCAAGGGACCCGCCCCACGACTGTGTCCCCCCCCCCCCCCCCCAGGCCAGCAGCAAGCTTCCTTCTAAAATGTCACCACTATTCACACTGTTCCTGCCCCAGGGCACCGGGCTGGGACCTCATGGAGCCTCCACCCTGCTTCCCCACAGCTCCCTCGGCAGCCAGCAATGTCATCACGCTGGCACTCTCCCGGGGCTTCCCCACACATCTGGAACAGAGGCCCCTGCGTCACCCCGTGCTCCACCTTCTGACAACTCCCCTCTCACTACCTGCACAACCATCCACAAACCCCACTTTTTATTGTTTTTGACACACTGAGCTCCATGACCTTTGCATGTGCTGTCCCCTCTGCCTGGGTGCCAGTCCTGATCGCTCCTCCTTGACCTCCCCAGCCCAGTTCTACGCAGCCTCTTCCAGGAAGCTTTCCCGACTCCCTGGGCCTGCACCCCCGCTGATGTCCTGCACACTAGCTGTCAGAAGGGGCCTGGAGGGAGGATAGGCCTCCACCTAGGGGCACCTGAAGGTCCACGCTGCCCCAAGAAGCTGGGACCCACTCGTTCATGTACAGATTCATCAGTTGAGCTCCTTCAATATGCCAGGACTTCTCTGGGGGGTGGGGTGAGAAAAGCAGTGGAGAACATGCTAGGAGGACTCCCCAGCCTCCCGGAGAAGCCCTCAGGAAACAAACCCAGAAATAAACAAGGGCTTTTTAAGCCACAAGGAGTTCTTTGCAAGGAATAAAGAGGATAATAGGTGGGTCCGCTGGAGGTCCACAGACGGGATGGAGACACTTGAAGGAGAATTAAGAGAAGCCAGGCATGGAAATCTGGGGGAGGAGAACAGAGCACATACCAAGGCCCTGAGGTGGGGGCCAGTACAGGGAAAGGCCCAGAGTGGGCCGGTCATAGGGAAATGCCCAGAGGAAGAACGAGCATGTGAAAGATCCCGAGGGAAGCTGGTGCATCAAACAACAAAAGGAATGCCAAGGGGCTGGAGCAGAGCTGAGGCTGCGTTTGGATTGTAATCTCAGAGCCTTCCCTTGGACAGCTTTTAGGCACCTAGTTATAGATCAAATCCTCCTTTTAGAGTCTCTCTGGCAGCCATTGGTCGTTCTCTACTCCTGCCTCTCCCACAGATCAAACGTGTCCCTTTCCCCATCACATACCTTCTCAAGTGCAGCCACTGAGCAGGAGGAAGGTCTCTGATGTTCCCCAAGGCCAGGGACAGGCCTGGTGGCCTCCTCTGCCAGTGCACTGGAGTAAAGGAAGAGATCCTCATAATCCACGTTTGCTGGATCCTTCTGCAGGGCCAAGGGACATATGTTTAGTTCCTTGGAAGGGGAAAGACTGAGGTCCTGGTCACATCCTGGAAAGCAGGTCCCAGACTCTCCTTCTCTAGTAATTTTAGGACGTAGGCCACGCCCAGGTCCTACTAAGGAAACATGCCCCACCCACAGCTGCTACTCAGGCCCTGGGCCACGCCCACCGAGCCTTATAAGGAGCTGCATCCTGCCCTCCCCAGGGTCTCAAGGCCTGGGCCACGCCCACCGAGCCTTATAAGGAGCTGCATCCTGCCCTCCCCAGGGTCTCAGGCCCTGGGCCACGCCCACCGAGCCTTATAAGGAGC